GGGAATAAAATCGGCTTCTTTTTACTTTAAAATGTCATAAACACGTATAATCCGTTATACATAATTTCTAAACCTATCGCGTGCCGTGTTTCTTTATTAGATTCCTTGATCAATTTAGAGGAAATAATTTTTTTTCTTTTTTTCCCTCAGACTCTAATTACAGAATTAGAAAGTCCTCAAACTAATTAGGAGCATGGATATACTCTATCTCAACGTCTTTAAAAAGATGTCTTACAATTAGAGCGTTATCCTAAAACTTTAATAAATATCTTTCTCTCTTCCTCTTTCTGATCGTCAAAGATCAAAGATAGAATGAGGAACCATTTTTCCGTTTTTCATATAGGTATTAAGTAACATTCGAAAGAATAGCAATAACTAGAACCTACAATTTAAGATCCTCTTCAAAATGCATATAACGGCAAAAGAATCAGTCACGTAATCTCACAAAGGGCGGGAACGTCAAAGAAAAAAACGGCGGATTTCACGGCGCCTCTTAAAGGAGACTAAACTTGGCTTTCGAAATGTTTCCTCCATGACGTGATCATTATAAAATACGAGATGCGCGATTATAAATAAATGCCATGGCATTTCTCGCAACTTTAACGATGAAAATGTCAGTACCAACGAACATTCGCCGAAAACCGAAAAATTTGGTGACCGCATCTCTCGCAACTAAAACCGCCAACTAAAACCTGCCTATTTCATTGGAAAAAAAAATCTTCAGCGCTATTTCTAAAAAAAAAGCTATCGATAGATTCCATTCAAAATAATTGCTTTCGTCATTATATGATTGGTCATTTTATTCCATAGATTTATTATAAAATTTTACAATTTTTTAAAATTTGTATTATGTACTCATAACAGTTATTTACTATAGTTATATCGCTATTGTTTTTTTTTTATATTACTTTTACTTGATTTCGAAAATTGTTGCAAATGTTTTGCACTGAGATTGGAGAATCTTTGCTTCATTCGTGAGCAGTTTTCGCACAATCATCTCGCTGAATTATCGATTTTTACCAAGTGAGAGGCGGAGAAGAAGTCGACGCAAAGCGTATATCTCGTCGAGAATTTCATGAAATGCGCTTGTAATAAAATGCGATCGAACTTTGCCGCGTAATTAAATACGCACGGAACGCTCTGTCAGTGCGCGCGCGAGTAGAGGGAGAGAAACCGTTAAGTGACTTATTCATTAATTAATAAGTAAACCGGGCGTTTCCTCCCCGGGGTTTTCATCGAAGATATTTTCGTTTCGTACGCCGAGCGAGAGAACGACAATAAATGTCCGGTGACTGCGGATTTTACGAGGCAATTAAATGTAAAACCTTCAATTTGACTTTGAAAGAACATCTCGAAAGTCTCTGATTACTCCATTAGCCTTGGTACATTCGCAGAAGGCACGCAATTAATCGGACACTGAGCGGTATATTGAATCCGAAATTGCCGCTGCGAAGCGACAAACTCTAATGACAGGTACGGATAACGCGACAGAGAGAATAGCAAAAACCGAATTAAAATCGCGAGCGACTGCTATGATTAAGAAATTAAACGCGAAGTTAATCAACCTCACCTGGTGCAAAGCCAGTGTATTGAGCGTACTGCATAAATAAATAATCTCCGCTTTAATAAAACATGCGAGTGACGCGTAAGAATTTAAAAATACCACTCTAATTAGGGCTATCCGAAACAAACACCTGCCTTCTCCGGTAAAACCAGTATTGCTCGTTGTGCTACAACTCGAACGTCGCGACGAGCGTACGCGTGTACCGTGCACGTCAAAAGATACACTACGTTGCCATCGAGTTCGTCTCCAAGTTCTTTCGCGAGCGAAATAAAAGGAGACACGAATCCCGCAGAAATTAGCTCGGTCGCAGGACCATAAGGACAACGGCACAAATGACGCAAAATATACCCGAGCAATACGATACCACCGTATTGAATATATGCGCCTGAGTGTGTTAATACCACGTATTAAAAAGAAACGGTCCATCGCGAGAGAAACAGGCAGCGTTCGTTCGATGGCGCGTGTAAATTCGTGCCACTTATACGGCAGCCTCGCTATCGGATCGGATCGGAGGCCTTCCAGAGGCTCCCAGGAAATTCCACGAAGCCACGAATTAGCGTGAAACCCATCCGGGGGGCCGGGGTGCGTCTATACACGGCGGGGTACGGAAGACATTTTGGTAGCGTGGGGGAGAGAGGGGGGGATCTGTGTGTATGTGTGCGTCGCCGCCGCCGCTGCTGCTGCACGGTCTGGCGACCGCAGCACGCGACACCATATGGTCTGCCGTGACCTCCGTGCACACAAATACACACGGAGCCCCCTGAAAAAAGACTCGCGGAATTGAGGGATCCTAACCGAATCGACCGATGCACCATCGAACCCGAGCGCACGCCCCGAAGTTGCCCCTCCGGTGGAAGCGCGACGGAAATTCGTAAAGCGGTCCCCGAAACTCTTGCCGAGGAATTAAGAACAATGTATGTGCGCGGACGCGCAGCGTGTCCTGGAACCACCGGATGTCCTTTCAACCAGAGATATTGAAAGTCGGTTTAAAAAGAAATATTGCGATCTTGAGAAGACGTAGTTATCAAAAGCGAAGCTTTACATGATTAATAAAAATGAAAGGCCATGTATATGTGATGTAAGGATCAACTTTAAAATTTTCCTTGTAACTTAGGAGTTAATTAAAGATTAAAGATTTACGTTCTTATTCTTATGAAAGATATAGTATTTAAAATTAATAATTCTTCGCTATGTATATAGAAAAATCGACCGCGAACTCATCGCAGGATTTATGAGCTGAGAGGTCGTCCGAGCGATTCCGGAACAAGCGCTGTATAGATTTACTGCGATAGCTAGGATACATACGATCAAACGCAGTGGACGCGTTGATTATGCGAGTCAGTGACCCGTTGTCGGGGCGAAAATTACGAGGCGAACTGCGGGACGGCCTTTCGACGCTACGCGGAGGGTTATTTATTCCCTTCGGAAACGACGTGAAATGTTTTTTTTTAACACCGCCACCGGCGACGGTGGCGACGGGCATGTTCGAGAGAGCTCGAAAAGGGGGGCAGGCGGAAAGGGAGATAGAGAGGAGGCGCAGGGACAGCGGACGGTGCTAACGATAAGTGAAACTCCCGTAGGAGTCACTCGGGACGGCGGTTACAGCACCCTCGAGGATGCCGTCAGTGCCTATATCCTAATAGAAACGTAATCGCGTAGTTTTGCCCGCTGAATAAATCATCGCGGGGGCTTATATGAACGAGGGAACGTCGTGGATTAGCGGCGATCTTCGCCGTTGGGGCACTCGTGGATTTATCCTATTCTCTTCCGTACACGATCCTCCGCTTATTTATTATTGTTTCCATTTACGTTAGTGCATTATAATGCGGCAACGCATGAAGTAATTTTGTTTTTATTACATAATCATATCTATAATTGAAATTGCGCAATTAATATTTTACGAATTGTATCTTTTTCTAATATCCCGAGTAGAAAAAATTCCAAAGTTTGGCCAATTAATGATTATAAATTCTAGTTTCTAACCAGTGTTTAGCCAGTAAATTTAACCAAATTCTCATCAGTTTGGTCGACGCTTGTTTCTAGAGTTACTGGATAATAATTTTAGCTTATATGGCTGCAGTTTAACGTAGATGGCATGACTTTATTTAAATCAAGTTCAAAACAATTCTGGCCAATCAATTATTATATTCTAAAATTTGCCTATTTTTTATACAAATATTATATTTTTGAAGCGCCATCTGTGTCGAAAAAAAAAATCATATTATAGCTAATATCTGGCCATGAAATTTCGAAAAAAATATTATTACTTAATTATTGGCAAATAAATGGCAGAAAAATTTTGATTAGAAAAACTGGATGGTTTTTAGGCACTGGCCAGTTTTTCCCAGAAACTTTTCTACTCGGGTAGATCAGTAATTCTTAGACACTCTGATATGCATATTCTTGGAGATAGGTAAAAGTAAGTTAAAAGTGATTAATTATGGCAATTGATATAATACAAATCTTTTGTTTTAATTACAGGAAACTTTATCTTTTCCTTGCGATTACGACACTTTCAAATTTGCCACGATACAACAAGAAAGGAGAGAACCTTGACAGCTCTGCGATTTTTATCTGTTAATAAATCAGTTAAAATGGATGCATCAAAAGGATTTATACAGCTGCTGACGTGTTTCATTGCGTCGGAAGACAATTTGCTTCTTTTTAAGCGAAAGTCAAGCAAAATGAACGATAAATATTGAATTTCTTACGATCGATCGCGATATTTTATCTGTTTGCAAAAGACCTGGGAGCTATCTCTCTCTCTCTTTCTAACGCGCGCGCGTGCACGCGCATCGTTTGCGAGACGCGACGGCTCACTTGTTCCCCGTGCTAGTTAACACGATATTCTAAACAACAAATTTGACGCGCCGCCTCGGCTCGATTGTTGTTTAATTTTCTCGGATTCTTGTTTACGCGACATGAGACATTGAATTGCAAACTGTCACCTGTAATAGTAATCCGCGAGTCGGTAACGGGTGTCAAATTTTCTACGCGTATGCGTATCTATCCGCAGACACCGTCTGTTATTCATTCTTTCAGACACATAAAAAGAGATAAGTGTATGAAAAGAGAGAGATATATTTATGATCATAATATATAATGTATAAATTTTTAATTATATATGCTTAATATTATTAATTTTTATTGTCATGTAATCAATTAGAAAATGTTATATTGAACGGCGAATAATTTTAACTTTTACTACATTTGTCAGCTCCACGTAAGAATAAAAAATTTTAAGCCGACCGACTCAAAGCTCTTGGGGAAAATATCACGAAACGTTGGCGTTTCGTATCGGTCGCTGTGGGATGGTAAAATCATCATCCTCAATAACGTTGCTCGTAAAGATTACGATCGTGAGCATCGCCTGAGTTCATCCAAGCGTCTCTCACTCTCGCGTTAGACGTCGAAGAGATGCGAGCAAAAACTTAATTTACGAGTTAACCTAATTACATATATAAAATTATGATATACTATATCGTTTTTTTAAAACTCACCCAATGCTGCGTTGCTACTACCTCTCCTTCCGGTCCGTCGAGGTTCTGTGAGCAAAAAAAATTGAAAATATTATTAGAAAGATAGCAGATTAAATAGACGAAAAATACGTTCACGTGATCGTTGTATGACACGCCGATATTCGAATGCAATATCTAAACGCGGCTGCTATCGATTGTGAGATTCAAGAGCTGCCTAATCATTGATCGAGTGAGTCACGCTTGTTTTCGACGCCTCGTCGGAAGCTCCCATATATACGGTGCCGCGAAAAAGAGCAAAACTTATCGAGACATGTTTAATTTTGCATAATAAATAATGAAATTATATTGCGTGTTCAATACTTTTGATAGTAATTTACAATAATTACGTTAAATGAATATAATATAAAGAGTACTTACGTCCTTCTTTCTCTTTACAGTCGCAGCACCTGAAATCATAACAAAAATTATGTTTAAAACAAATTTTTTTTCAGGAACTGTTTTTTTATGATAAAGCATATAAAGTACATATATATATATATAAACATATTTGCAAAAATTAAAAATATTTCTTTTTTTCTTTTAAATACACACGCATTTCTCTCTTCATTTCTGCGTCTCTCTTTTTTCTTTATCTCGATAAATATAACGCGATAACAAAGGACTCACCGCCAGCGGGATTAGGTAACCGTGCGCCGTTGGTACCAGTGGGGGTCGCTGGATTGACGACGGGGGTGGGGGTACTCACGGTACCTACGGTAACCGGTACACCCCGGGTCCCGAACGGAAAATACGGTGAATCCGGGGGATAGGTGGCGCCCTCAACGCCACCCCCGCTGCCACCTCCGCCGCCCCCGCCGCCTCCACCCGGCCCCCCGCCTGGTCCACCCGCTGTAGGGCCGAATGCACCACCGCCATACGCCTGAAACAGAAATCGAAATATGTTCTTTTTTTTTCTCGATTTTTTATTCACATCTCTGGGCGCGACAGCCGTAATCGCAATATTGTGACAACGGGGGGATTATCGATACAATAATGATAATATAGAGCGTATCGTTTATATATCGAAATGTCCAAAATACGAAAAATAGTAATCATTTCGATAAAAATGTTACAAAATTGTACGTTTTCAAAATATTAAAAGCTTCTTAAATTAATCTCAAGAAATAGTGCATCTGTTGCAAATAACTGTCGCAAATTGCAATGGAAGAGAAAGAGAGAAAAGATGATGCGGGAAAGATATGCGAAATCGAGGAAATGCGACAACGATAACTCGGAGGCGGCTTCAATAAATCATGCATCGAAATCAATATTCCTTATCAGCTATGGTTTAACGACTGTCGATTAGATATTGCTCTCTCTCCAGCGCTTTTGAAAAATTTAAGTATACCACATTCATTTTGTTTCCGTGGCTTATACATATAAAACGTTTATAAAATTAATAGTTAAATTATACCTCTCTCTCTCTCTCTCTCTCTCTCTGCGAATTATGCAGGAAGAGTGTGCAAAATTAAAGTTAGTTAAATAGATGTGGGTCCAAGGTTTCTCACGTTCCACGTGTACACGATGACCTTCCGCGTAAGAAACATAAAAAACGGAACATGTTCCGCGTTAATTTGCTTACCAAGAATAATCGATAGGTGATGATCTTTGTCTCGTGCGACGAAAATTTCGGAAAGTAGCGCAGTGTTCAGAAATAATTAGCGTGTTTTTTTGATAATTTCAACGAAAAAACAAGACAAACTTGTTTTAAAGCAGTTTTTTTCTAGAATACATGCGCGTCTCTTGATATGCCGTCATATAGATACAATGTCACGGATGAGAGAAAGAGAGCGTAAGTGATATTAAAGTCGGAAGTTGACGGCGCTCAACTGCATAGAAATATATTTGTCTCATTTCATTCTCATTTATTATATATATTATTATATATTATTATATATTGTGTATATAATATGCTAGATATTAATTGTTGATAAATTAATAAAGATAGGTAATATTAACGTGATAAGTAAATAAGAGTTAATTCATGACTAGCAAAGATAAATTATTATCCTTAAGATAAATAAACTAGAGTCAAATGCACATGTTGCTTCTCGGATATTATGTATATTATATTTATATCGATTAATAATAAATTTTCTAGAAAAGATATATCCTCCCCAAACGTAAGAAAGAGAGAGAAGGAATGAGAACCGCTTCCCGAAAATATCACTCGAGATAAAGTTTTGGGATTATGTCGGGGTTGCCGGAGAAAGAGAGTGGAGTCGGGCGACGCGAAGCGAGTAACTTTTTCTCAGATAAATTCGCTCCTACGACTGCAATAATTATTACACTCCTATTTCTTATATAATCCCGCTTCGTTTGGAGATTCAAGTCGCTCGCGCAACAAAGAAAGAGATCTTGAATATTCCAACTTTTCTCTCGCGCTTCGCCCGACTCGAACGGGGAAGAAACAAAGCGCGATGGCAGAAAAATCGTTGCGAATCGCATTGTTGTGTGGAGGTCAGTATCAAAAGATCACTCACCATTCCATTGTCTATCGTGGAACCATACGGCGTTTGAAATCCTGGCTTTTCTGAAACAGATAAAACAAACCGCAAAGATCAATTTTAGGGAAGCAATATCGTTCCTTTTCATTTAAGAGATTAAATTAATTTATAAAGAGAATTTTTAAGCCTCGCGCAATTCACATCTTGCGTAGTGTCTACATAAAA